TAATGGGTTCTTAGTGCCCTCCCCATAGTAAACTTAAATCAGGGATGGCGAACCTGCGGCCTTAGCTAAGTAATTATCTTCTTTCCCTTGCCCCAAGTAGAAAAGGAGATAGTATGTAAAAAAGGAAAGTTCATCAGGTCCACCAGAAAAAGGGAATAAAGTATCTTTTTTGGAAGAGCCTTTCCTTCATAGTACCTTCTTAGTAAATAATTTATTGTGTAAATAATGGAGGCAATTTCCCACCCCCCATTAAAAGTTACAAATGATGGTTAAGTTCTGTGATACTACTAAACAAGGTGTTGGACTCCTCGTCTAATGTGAAATAGATTTTTGTAGGCTGGTTTTGGAACCATAGACATATAACATATCTGAGGGCAGTAATTCCAGCATGCGGGGGGGGGGGAATTGTTTTTCCCTTTTTTTGTATCTCTAGCACGTGGTACACAGCAGGCGCTTAATAAATGCTAGCTAACTTACTTTGTCAGTAAGCTGTTCATATTGTCAAAGAATTTGCAAAGATTTGGTCCAGATACGTTTTATGTCCTAGATCGGCAGAATCTCTGGTGTATAGTGACAAATCTTACAACGTGTGCTATTACACATGCTATGTCTTTAGAGCTCTTAACTAGCCGGGCCCTTTTCATTTGAAGCTTTTACATTGGGATAACGTTCCCTTTGAGAAGGGAGGTTTGTGCAAGAGGAAAAAGCTCCTGCACCCATTCCAAAGGATAGCCCATGCTTAGTCAGTTACCTTTACCTTAGGATTTGGTAAGTTGTCAGTGGTTTTCTCTGTGCCCCTCTAACCATGGAACCCACCTGTTGGCTCTGTGTCTTAGTAGTTCACAGAAGGGGCAGAGAAGTAGAGCTGGTAGGTGAGTTTCTCCCGAAAATTGCATTTATTACACCAGTAGGCTCCAAACTTTTTTGATCTTGAACCCCTACTAGGAAAAAAAAAACAGGAGTCGTGTAACCCAAAATGATTACTGTTTGACCCTCAACTTCATAGAGAGCTGCTTCCATCAAAGGAGTGATGTGATTAGCCTTGCACTTTAGGAAAATCACTTTAACCGGGGTGTATTGGATAGGGAAGAGATGTTCAGGAGACTATAGGAGTAACCTCAGTGATAAGGCCCTGAACTATGATGTGTGAGTTGAGAAGAGGACAGATTTTTTAAAAGTTGTTTCTACCTCCGTAGCAAGCTTATCAAATGACTGGATATGTGGGATTAGGGAGAGTGAGGATTGGGGATGGCACATATTGTGAGCCTGGATGATTTGGAAAGATACGGTGTCCTCCACAATTTGGAGGGAGGGGTATGGGCAAAGGTCATGAATGTAGTGACATCTGCATTGCAAAGGGAAATCCTTTCTTGTTTGTTCATCTTGTGTGACTCACTCATCAAAAAATTAAAAGGAGGGGGTGATCTGTCACTCCTTGAGTACAGCCCAAGGTGAGATCCAGGCATGGGGACATTGGATGAGGTGGGAAATTGTGCTTGTGTAGGTTCAGGTTAGATTATAACCACTCCCTTCGTGGTGGGGGTAGGGAGAAGTATTGGAAACACAGGCTCCTAGGAAAGCAGAAGGTGACCCATCTTCCTATCCCCTTGGAATCATTCTGTAAGCCCCTGGGAGGTGCATGGCCCCTACTTTGGAGACCACTGTATTAGAAAACCATTAATATTTTGAATTTTTGAATATGATGATTTCTTCACTAGTCTGAGCTGAAAGTACACTTAGGATTGTAGAATTTAGGTATCTTTAACAGTTAGTTACCTTGTCTCCAGTGCCTCATTTATAGATACAGAAATTGAAGACATTCCCAAGGGCACCAAGATAAGATAGATAAATGAGAATGGGGGGAGGGAGGGATTGATAGGTAAAAAGATGAAAGAAATTGAGAGCAAAGCCAACATTCAAATCTAGTGCGCACTGGCTTTGTAATCACAGCATGTTTGTCTTTCAAGGCCTAGCTTAATCTTTTTCTAGTATGTTAGAAACATGTAGCGAGTTAAATAGTTGAATTTGCTCTTGTCTTAACTCTGTATGTCTCCTGCACAAAATTGAATCTTGGTGACTAAAAGATTTTTCTTCATGCAGGCAGTTTATAGGCAGGTAGAGTCCACACTTATCTATTTGAGGGAGTTTTTCATTCACATAACCTGTCACGGTGATAAAACAATAAGCTCTTGTAGTGACGTTTGTAAAGTATAATAGATGAATGGTGGCTTTTGGTTTCATTTACAGCTTTTAACCCTCAAAAGCAAAATAAACCCATCAGTTTCTTTTGATGAAATGAGAGCTGTGCTCAATGTTAGATTTGTTCTTTGTGAGTTTGGGAAGGAATTCTTTTTATTCAGGGAGCAGAATCTTCAGACAGGATAATGGGCTGTCTCATTTTCTTCAGGAGTCCTGCAGTCAACAGAATATCCAATAAGATGTCTGTCTTAAAGGTTGCCTTGTCGCTTGTGGCATATCACACCAAATAGAGTGCTAAGCCATAAACCCTGGACTTTGTCATAAAAGTAGGAATTCCCTGTTATCTATCCTTTCTTCCTTTTTCAGCCTTTCTTGCTTTTACTGTTTGATTTTCCATTGGTGTAGAGCAGTTCTGCAAATAAAGTAACTAGCTAGGTAAATTGTGATAAATTGTTTATGAGAGTTTTTAGTGTGTGTGAGAGAGAAACAGACAAACCTAATAGCACAAAAGAGGATTCAGGTTCCAGTGTCATTGCAGTACTAATAAATTAAAATCTCATCAACTTGGACCATGAGAAGAAAATTTTACATTTTTTAAAAGTTAGACATGGTGGTGATAGACTCTTTCAGACAGACAAGTACCTATTGGTTTTGAGCTTCTTTGGAGAAACTTATATGAAAAATCTGCCCTTTCCCTTAAAATGCCATTGTGTATTTCTTGAGTGTGTAATAGCTTAAAACTGCACTAAGATTTTTGGAGACTCACTACATTAAAATTAGAAGTACTGGCATGAATATATCAGTTCTTACTATTCATGCTGGTATGAATATACATAACTGTGACCCATGTAAATACAGAAATTATTTTTCATCAGTGCTGTGCTGAAAATTGATGTCAGGCAGGGTATAATATGGGGAAACATTTCCATCTAAATTGTTTTCCAATATTTTAATACATGTCAATCCTAAAGTATAAGCTACAGTATTTCCTGTTGATATCAGAGTTTTCCAAATGCTTAAATTTGCAGATAATAATCTATTAATTGTATCAGACTCTGGAACATTACCACTTCCTCAGAAATCTAAATTAATGTGAAAGAAATTAATCCTACTACCCACTTTTTTTTAAAAAAAGCAGATAAAAAAGTTAGACTATGATATATAGCTGATGAGAAGGCCTTTGGGAGACTGCTTGGTGGAGTGGAAAGAGTCTAGGGAATCCAAGTTCCCACCCATGTTTTCTTGTGCAATTTAATAGCTTCTAAGGGACTTTGTTTCATTATCTGTTAAACGAGGCGCTTGGAATAGAGGGTGTCTGTGGTGCTTTCCAGTTCTAGACACATATCTTAGGTACTGTAGATGGAAAATTATCTTGGCCCAGAATTGAGAACAAGAAGAAAATCCACCCAGACCACATTTGAGGTGTCATGCAGCCCTTTGGGTAATTCTAAGCTTTAACTTAGTTGTTCTCATTTTGATGCTGTGTGATTACAATTTATGGAACATCATGATCTTAGAATTAAAAATTTAACTCGGAGAACAAGTGGAAAGATGACAGAAATGAGACAGGCTGCACTGTGCTACCCAGGGTATCTTGTATAAAGATATTTTACCAAGGCCCTGTATTGATTGAGGGCAGGGGAGACCACTATAGAAGATAACTTGGATGGATAGTATACTGGATAATAAGGAAAGGAAGGGCTCCAGGGCATTGTGTGGGTCATCTAGGAAGACTTTTCTTTTAACATTTTATTAAATAATTTTATCAAATTTATCATTAAATCATTAACATTTCATTAAATCTGGCATTGTATACAAACTATTCAAACACTCCCTGTACCAATTGATTTTCTTTGAGAGAATTTTAGCCAACCTATAGTTTGGGAAAGAAGATATAGGGAAAGGAGTTTCTTTTTAACCACATGAAAAACTTAAATGGTTTTGTTTGTGACTTTTCTGGTAGTGTTGTTTAATTTAAAAAAAACAACCCTGAGACACCTAATTTAACTATATTACATTTTTGTTTGGTCTCCCTAATTGTGTTTTATAAAATTCTCTGTCATTCAGATTTATTCATATGATATTGAGCAATCTCATCCATCCAAAATAAATTTCCTTTAAACCTTTAAAAACCTTTAAAAAGGTCTCTAACCAGCACAGCTGTTACACGGCCTGTGTGCTTGACTTCAAAAGTGTTGGTGCCACTTTGGAATTCTCCTGTGGCACTTGGGTGCGTAGGAGCAGCAAACAAATAAAACAGCCAGAAGTAAGAATTGACAGCTTAGCTGAGTTTTAAAAAAAACCAGAAATGTCACAAACCTAGGGTTACTTAGTGAAGAGTCAAAAAACTCCATACCACTAATTTCTAAGGTATCAGTACATAAAGCCCTAATTAGTGTTCCCATTGATGGCTTGAATTAACAATAAAAGACTAAATGCTCTCTATTGTGTTTCTAAAGGCAAGAAAGTGTAGTAAATATTAGATTGTTGGCTCCTGGAGGGCAGGAACTGTCTTTTGCCTCTTTTTGTATCCCCAGCCTTGGCATAGTGCCTTGCCCATAGTAGGTACCTAATAAATTGTATTGATTGACTAATTAAACATATTATCGAGATTTTCATTTAAAAGAGAATCATATTAGTACTTCAGGGTTTTAACCTTTATTTAATCTGGAAACTACACCTACAAGGATGCTTGCTAGATGAATTATCCTGTTAGTACAGTGACTAATAAATAACTAAACAAAATTTAATAAATCTCATATGGGATGGTAAGTAAAATACTTTGCCCTCTTTGGTTGCAGATTCTTCATCCTGTGCTGGAAAGCAAAACATTCAGCTTCTCAAGACCAGCCCAGCGCCACCCACGGTTTCATCAGGGAGTGTTTCAGCAAGGACACAGTCTGCTGCAGACCAGGCAACCGAACCTGCGGCCTCGGAGACACAGCCTCCAGAACGCTTACTGCAGGAAGGTATTGGAGAAAATGAATAGACGTGTTCAAATCTCAGAGTAAATTTTCCTTTTTGTTGTCGTTGTTGTTTTCCTAAAAATTACTTTTTTTATCACCATACTTTTCCCCAGTATTTCTTTCCCATCCCCTCCCAGAGGGCCGTCCTATATAAAGTATTTTTTATGCCAGAAAAAGAGAAGGGAAACTACCTTATAAAGACATCAAAAAAGTCTTAAAATATTTGCATTATACAATATTTTTAGACCTTCTACCTCTGCAAAATCAAACTCATTGTCTTTATGTTTAAGTGCAGAGCAGCCAAAGTTTCCTTGTCTGTCTGAGGTTCTTCAAAACCCTAGATAGATAAGGAAATCACTGATTATTTCTGTGCAAGTTTTTTTTTTAATCATTGTTCATATGTGAAATTATAGCTAATAGGGAGATAATATATTGAATCATCTTTTTTCTAATTTTTTTCAGGCCCAAAATTGTTATTCCACAAATTGACTGGCACTTATGTAGGCTCTATGTTTTGATACCCACAGTTTTCAAAAGGGATACAGCAGCTAACTGCAATATGCTTTTGACCCAAAATTACACCACTTTGCCCTTTTCCTTGACAGATTTCCCATCTATTTTCTGTCCTACTAAAACTCTTAAACCATTAAGGCTTTTTAGAGCAATGGACTGTTTTTCATTTTGACTGATTTTTAAAAACTCTTTTACCTACAGTTTGTATTTTTTACATTGTCAGCAGAAATGTGGCAGATATTCTGTTTGTTAGCAATTGCCAAACTTCAGAATGACTGCTTGCTTTTTATCAAAAAGCTCTGAATTAGAACATCAATAATCTTGTGACTAACCTTACTACTCTCCATCTCTTCAGGGGTTTTTTATTTTGTTTTTTATGGTCAGCAAAAACATTTCTTTCCCTTACAAAGACTGTTAATTTCTTTATTGTATTTTACAGATAAGTCACTTAGGTAACAAGAATGTCCAGTGTTACCCACTAAGTCACTGGATATTCTAGGAATGGAATTTACAATTCCATTCATGGATTTCTACCTCCAATGATTGAGCATGATGTCATAGATCATACTTCTCATGGACAGTTACAAGTTAGAGTATTTTGCAGCAGTGCTTACATGATGCTTTTAACTTATGCTTCCTGCCATACCTGTTTCTTTGATGTCCTGTTATTTACAGACTCTCCATAGCATTACCTGATACAGCTCCTGCCTATGTCTTTCCTTGTTGATCCCAACTTTATAGTATAAATGCCTCTGCATTCATATAAGCTTTTCACCATGTTTAGAATGTCCTCCCTCTTCTTCTCTGCTTCACAGAGTCTTTGCTTGGATTCAGACTTGGATCAGGTACCCCCTAGCCTATGAACCTCTTTCCCAGCCAAGTTGTTAATGCTCAGAGCATTCTCCCCTTTTCCCTGTACTTTTCATGTTGTTTTTCTCTCCCACACTGGTAGAGTGTGAGCTTCTTGACAGGAAAGATTGGTTTTATTGGTCTTTGTATCCCTAAGGCCTTACATATATTAGGTGCTTAATGAATGTTTGTCAAATTAACTTTCTCCTACACCCGTTATTTTTCTTCCTATTGTAAATAGGAAGGAATTTTGAAAGAGAGAAGGAACTTAAAAGCCCCTAGAAAACTTCTTTGACTTCACTTGATTAATCTACTTGTATCAGTTATTTAGGGGAAAAAGATGATTTTTGAGGACTTTAGATTCCTACTTATCCTGTTTCCTTTCCTTAAATAAAGACTTCCTTAGAATATAGCTGCAGCCACTTGGCTTTACAAAGCTAGTCAGTCTTTCTGATATTAAAGGCTCTAATCAAGATTTGTTGCCCTTTAACAGAAATCCTAATTTTTTTTTGTAGTACATTTTACCTTAAACTTCAGGTTGTACGTCAGGACCCAACAGTTTTTACTGTATTAGAGGGAATCCAGGAAAAATCTCTGAACTACAAAAGGACTCCAACTCAGAAGGCAACTTTGAAATCTTGGTTTTAAAAAAACAACACTCTTTGTGACCATAGATTTTCCTGCATGCCATATACATTAAATGCCAGCGTAACAGTGCTGGGGCCTGTAATATGTATTCACTTATTGAAGCAGTTAATCATCTCCCTGTGAAATTCTTAAAATGTTACATATTCTTGCATTTTAAGTAATTCCATGCAATTAAATTAGTCTGCCTGGAAGAGCAAAAGTGCAGTAAGATGAAGAGTCAGCCTCCTTTTCGGTCATAAAGAAGGAAAGGAAACCTTTCAGTCTACTTTTTGATCTCCAAAGCATTTTGTAGACCACCCCTGTTTATGGAAGGGATGGTGTTGCCTAATGTGTGGAGACTGTACTCTCTTAAAATGCACTAAATTGACAACCATATTATTATTTAATGTAAGAGAGCAATTAAGATAAAATCTTAAACGTGTCTTTTGCTTGCCCTTGAATCTTTGATTTGATATTTTCAATCATTAATAAATACAAATAAATGTATATTCTGTACCTATGGGGAAAGAGACTATCGGCTGTGTTTTCTGTACTCTGTGACACTTTTTATTCCCTGTTTATTTCATCAGCATACTAGTAGATGTTTGAATATGTCATTTTATTATCATCTCTTTGGGTTTACTTGGGTGAAATGGACATAGCGCTCTTCACACCTGAAGAGTGCCCACAGTTAAATATAGTTTTGTTCATGACCAGTCATGTTGGAGAGTAGTTTTCACTAAGTTAGCCTTACTAATGCATTATTTGCAGTATTTTAACCTAAAACAGTACTTAAGCAACTTTATTCCACAATGATTTAGTTTCCTGATTGTCAGTGGGAAAAGAGATTATGTTAAGTGTGAATTGGATATTTTAAATTCCTAGAAAAGCTAAAGCTACTTTATCATTTTAAAAGTCTCTGTTTCAGCATTTTCACCAGTACCAATTTATTGTTAAGATTTCTTGAGATTCTTTTAGCCAAGGAAGGACATTGTAAGTATCTTTCAGCTGTCTTTGTATTCTTTTTACAAAGATTTTTTAACTATACTTGGTACAGCTTTTAAATCTAATTTACTTTCATTCATTACTTCTCTGATCTTTTAAATTGCCTCCACAGTCAACTGCGTTATCTACTTTATGAGTTGTCTATGGCCAATTTCCATTCTAGTTTGGCTTCCCAACCCAACACATACCAAAGCTACCACCTAGTGTATTTAGGGAAGGTTAACTCATTTTAATGTTGGCTTGAGCAAAATTATTTATTAAGTTGGCAGAAAAAAGGCATCATGCATTGGCATTCCAGTTTCAAATATAAATACTTTCTGGATTATCTATTCCACTGCTTCTGCTTAATTAGCAAAGTAAATTGTTAAATATAAATATAAATAAATGTAAGGTGCTGACACCGTAAAGGGACATATTGAAATATATGGATCAGTCATACTACAAAGAAAACTCAGTATATAAAAATCCAGCATGTAAAACACAGATTCCAGAATGATTTTTTTGCATTACAAAAGGATTCCTCTGATAAATTAATTGTTAATTTACAAAAATTTGATTACCCTAGAACTTTCCTTGGAATGATTCTATTACATAAATTTCTGTAATATGTAATATGATTGCTTTAGTTTAAAAAAAAATCTTCCCATTTATTTCCTTTTATATCATATCCATCTTTCTGTACCCCAATGACACTGGTAGAGTTCTTCATACATACAAGGGCATTATCTAGTGGTGCTAATTGTCTTTTTTTTTTCTGAAGATTACTGAATGATAATGGGACAGTTTATAAAGGAGCAGAACACAGGCAGTTCTGCTGTGAGAAAGGATTAGCTTTCTCCACCACCACCCCCCTCCCATCCCCACCACCCCCAACTATCTCCAGTTAAGGAAAATTACCTGTAATTTGCTTTTAAATAATCTGATTTAGAAAGGACAAGTCAACAAAATTACATAGGTTTTCAGGGACAGTGACACCTGTCTTTGTCAATGGTAGGTCTGAATTGGGCCTAGGATTACCAGCAGCCTGTTAAAAAATGGAAAATATTACATTTCTACTCTGATTCTATCATGTTAACTTATGATAACTTAACAAAACAGATACTTTAACTTGTTTCTTATTTTCCCTAGTTGAGAATTATTGCTTATATGTAAGTGATATTGTACATTCACATCAGTTTTTACTATTTAAAGTACATATTTCCTGACGATATGTGGAGAAAATGCTGCTTTTCCCCCCCCATAAACTCTAGATCTAGAATCAAATGTATTTATCTCTTTTTCTATAAATATTTTGTGTTAACCTACAAACTATATGCTTACCATGACATTTTTATCATATGCAGCGTAATGTGTAACTGATGTTTAAGTATGCATTTAGTTGGACATAGAAAATCAGGCCAATTTGCATCAAGTCTCAAGTTTATATTATGTATGCCTGAATTTCATGTATGTTATAGTTTTTTCCTTTCCAACTTTATCAAAATAGCTGTCATTTTTACATTAACATGTTTCAAGAAGAGTAGTGGTTTTTTTGTATGGTATCTTGAGATTTAATGGGTAAGCTAAAATTCTAAAATCATTTTATGTTTAGCTTTTGCCCCATCATAGAAAAATATTTCTTACAAATGGGAAATCATACATATAGTTGTATGATTTTTAGAAGTAACTACTGTTCCAAAAACATGTTCATTTGAAGAAATGTGGAAAACATCTAAATGCTGCAGTCATTGTTCCTACAGTCTGAATGCTTCAAGGCAGACTTATCATATTTTTCTTCAGATTAGTTTTTCTTTAAATGTTTGGTGGTTCATCTGGAAATTCAAAATTTCGGATTTTTCCTTCTAAGAACAGTTTGAGTTAGCTTATTGAATGATTGAAAAGTTTATCCTAATTTTACCTGATTAAGGAAACATAGAAAAGGCTGCTTTTCAGCCTAATTTGCTGGAAAACACCTAATAATTGTCATTTGTTGTATTTTCCTGCAACATTTTCCTCGTGTTGGATTTAATAGGGAATCAGTTTCACTGTTCTATTTTTCAACCCCCAGTATGGGCAGAGTAGCTTAAAATGGTTGTGCATTTGTCATTCCTTCAGTTTCTTCTCTTTTTGGTAAGTGATATTGGCAGTCTGCCATTTGTATTAAGCACCTACTATGTATGTACCATTGTTCCATGTGCTAGAATTTATTTTATTCTTTCTACATCTCTTTCCATTGTGATTTTCATCTTCTCTCCATTCCCTTCCTCCGTTATCGAAACTGGGTTGCTACCAAGACAAGTCCTATAGAAGCTGAATTAGAGTCTTTGCTAGAAAAGAGTTCAGAGGTCAGTGTAGTCCCATACCCTCATTTTACAGTCCAGAAAAGGGAAGTATTTGACTTGTTCATGGTCACACAAGTAGCAAAGCTAGAATATGAAAGCTGAATGCTCTTTGTGCTGAACCATGCTTCCTACATGCAAGAAGCTTACGGTCTGAAAAGAAACACATGCCAGGTGCTCAGAAGGTGTATTGGCATCAGGAAAACTTCCAGAGAAACATGGTTGCTTCTATGCAATATGAATTTGTAGTGCCGTGTACTGTTGATGCTTAACCAGATTCGTCCATGCAGAAGCTGCTTCTCACAGATAACCGAGCCGTGCCAGATTGGGTAACATGTTTGGTTATGTGCATGGTTGAGTTGTCCTTTGGAATGCCAGAATTCTTTCTCACTTTAAAATGCAATGACATGATTTTATTTCTCATCTTTCCTGTCGGTTTGACTCTTGTGTTTGTGCTTTCCACTTCACAGGCATGCAGTATGGTGGATATGTTAATAATCAAGCTAGCTCTGCACCAACTCCCTCGTCATCAACTTCAGATGATGAGGAAGAGGAGGAGGAGGATGAGGAAGCAGGTCTGCTTTAGCTTTACACCAGTTCTTAATCTTTTCCTTTGCTAGTTTTCTTTTTATTTCCATATTGGATTTTAGGTTCTGTTTAAAAACTGGAAAATTAGTGTTTCAGGATTTGGTACCGTGAAGTACATAGTTGAAAATAAAATTTAGTTTGGGTGGAAGAGGTTGTGATACCTGAAATGACATTTTTATCTCCATTTCATAAACTTCACAGCTACTTTCATTTGTAGATGACAGTGTAAGCCTTACATGTTGAGAGAAGGGATTCTTATTCAGTTTGTATTTCCTTCCATCTTCTCGAGCTAAGAAAGGTTTTTTACTGGCTGTGAACCTTTTGGCTGATTATTACTCTAGCACATTTACATAATGCTTTGTGGTCTCTACCTTGCCTGCTTCTTCAGTGTTCTATTCAGATCTGTAGAGTTGGATTTGGTTTATCTTAATGACATAGAAATAGGAGGAGATTACTTTCTCAACGTCACCTGCCCATCTTAATAGGTGCCTAGCAAACCCAAATAATACTGCTGTTATTTGCATGCTTCAGGCAAGTACATAATCACCTCATATATTACTGGTTAAAAGAATACATGTGGTTTTCTATTCAAATCTCCTTAATATCATTCTCTCTGCCCTTAGTTGGTAGAATCCTGCAAAAGATTGAGAGGTTCCATTCAAGGGCTGTTTCTCACTGATTTAATATTGAACCAATAGTATCCTTAGCTGTTCTATTGCACCATTATTCTTCCTTCCACCATACTCCCAACCAGTGAGATTTGCTTTGTCAGAAACCTTGAAATACATGGCGTTCTGTTTCCTATTTAAACTATGTGGTATTTGTTTGCCTTTTAAAAAAAAAGTGAGTGTTTGAGGGGGAGGGCAGGGGATTGGTTCTGCTTTTACTGTAAATATAAAAATGCATTTATATTTTTGCAGACTTTATCAGATGTGTTTATTTTCCAAAATCTTAGTTCTGTTTCAGCTTTTCTCATCATTATAATCTTTCTTTCATTGTGTTTCATTTTGGATGGTATTCTTTGGTCTGTTAACCTATTGTTCGTTTGCCAGCAAGTAGGGATTGTTGTTGAAAACTCCACTTGCTCAGTTTAATAAAAGATTTGAGAGAATACTATGATAGTTGAGGCTTCTTCAGTGTCACCCTTTGCTTGAGCTAGAGTTTTTGTGTGTGTATCTTTAGTGAGTAGAAAAATCTTTGAGTAGTTGGATTAGTGTGCATTTATATTGTAACTTCTTTTAATACTTTCGTTTAAATGTTTTTGGTCAAGATAAAGGGATAAGACTTCCTTTGCCAAGAAGAATGTGCAAATGAAGTGGTCAAAGGTCCCAAAGAGTTGAAAGAATAGATTTCCTTCATTTGTATATATTATGCATGTGTGCTAAATTTTGTGCAAAAGAGTGCTTTTATTGGTTTTTATCTTTGCAGTTAGATAAGCCATTTTTTTGTTTTCTATACCAAGGTTCTCAAATTTTTAAGTGATGTGATCATTAAGAGCAGTCATAACTTTCTGGCCACAAGAAAGCTTTTTGTGAACATAGATTGTCTCACGTTTGCTTCTGTGTCCTCAACACTGAGCATGGCCAGCTTTGTGCTCTAGGATCCAAGTGACAGGAAGGTGCCATTAGGATAGCAAGGAGGAATACCACATCACACTTAAAATAGAAATTAACTGTAGTGTGGTAGAACCGTGTGGCTTTTTAGGAATTATTTCATTGGCTGACTCAGGTAACCATTAAGCCATAGAATCCTAAATGGAGAAGGTTCTCAGAGTCCACAAAGTCTAGTTCCCTCCTTTTACAGACAAGGAAACTGAGAGCTGTTTAGGTGGCATGACTTGCTAATGGTCACACAAGCAGTAGGAAACAGCAAATCCAGAATGTAAACCCAGGTTTTCTGATGTTGAAGTGAGCATTCTTTCCACTGAGCTATTCCTTCTAGTTTGTAAAATAAAGTATTATTTGCACGTGAAGTATTACACTTGATCTTCATAACTCTAGATTGCTGTAGTTTAAATTCTAGATTGTAGGACTCAATTCTTATGGTGAAAATGTCCACCTTTGTGATTTTTTTTGTCCTTTAAAAAAGAATAAGGTAATAAGGCAAAGCAACAAGCATTTACTAAGCTCTACTGTGTGCCAGGCATTATACTAAGTGTTCTTGAGGGCCTAAGTTTTTTTAAACATAATGAATAAAAGTTGCTTGAAAAGAAAGATCTACCCTGAGTAATAGGACCCTGTATTTACTTCTGCAATAAATGTACACTTAATGTTCTCTGAATCTATCATGTTTTAACCCAGTCTGTTTTGCTAATGAAGCTTTTGGAATATTTTGTAATAGTGAAAACTAATTTTTAATTTAAAAAATAAGACCTTGAGATTTTGAAATCCTAATTAGGGGATAAGCATTGATCAGCCCATACCTAAATAAAGTAAAAAATGTCAAAACACTTGAGACCATATGCCTAACAAATGAAAATAATGAATGTGTAGGTTTATCATTAAATAATGTTGTATTCATCAATTTATATTTGAGTTTCCAATAAAAACTTAAGCTTGTGCATGTTATTTTTTAAACTTTCCTTTCAAGTGACTACACTAGGAACATTAGAAAGTACAGCAGTTCTAAAAGCAAAAAGCTTTTTAAAGCTTATTCATGAACCTTTTCCCCTTAAAATTCACTAGAATCTGATATATCTCAGCATATTCAAAACCTAGGATTTCAAATTGAGCTAAATTTGCCATATGATTGCTGACTAGAAGATTCAGAATGTTCAGAATATCTGATTCTTTTTGTTGTGTTGCCGAAGTACACAATTTAATTGACCTATTGAATGAAGACTGTTATCCAACTTAATGTGCAAATCTAAAACAAGAGACTTGTCAAAGGCCACTTTAATGGTTGGAATAAAGCATTTAATTACTTTTTTTCTTCTCTCTCCCTACTTATTCCTGTCTGAGTTCATCTTGAATCACTTCCCCTCCTCCCCCCTCTTATCCCATCTGTAAAATATTTTCAGTGTTACTGATCTCAAAATAACTTGACAGTAATGTTTCTGCATTTTACAGTGAGGTAAAGCTGTTGGAATGGGAAAGGCCAGGATGCTGATTAACAGCCATCATTGCTAAATATCTTGCTTTAGACACTCCATAGTTGATCCTAACATTGGCTGTGGAGTAAAGTGTGCCAGTAGCACTTTCATCAGCTGGTGAAGAGGAGGGAAGAAGAAAGCTCATAGCACTATCACAAGTGATCAGGTTTTTATCCTTTTAATACCCTCACGAAATAGTGTGATGTTAGCATTAAGGCATTTTGACTAAGAGCTCCACTGCTGCCAGGTTTCTTGGAAAGTAGAAATTTTTTTTTTACTTTTTTATGTCTTTTTGTTTGTTATGAACTATAACTCTATTCTGGGCAATAGAAAAAAGATAAGAGCAGTAGGGGGAAATTACTTATAAATTTAGATTTTAGTTCTACTATTTAAAACTCCTTTGGATTATAATAAGCTTGTTGTACTTGTATTTTTTTTTAAATTCCTGTCTAATGAGCTGAAAGACACAGGAAAGAAAACATTTTTCTAGAACCTTCTAACAGTACCTAGAGTAGTAAGTCACCAAGCTCCTGTTCTCTGTTTTCTATGTGCTAGGCACTCCGCTAAGCCCTGGGAATACAAACAAAAACATAACAGCAGTAGCAATAGCCCATTATCTGATGCTAGCCTGAAACTTGAGCATTTCAGTGAAGTCACTGGCCCCTGTTCGTTTTGTTCTCAGACCTTTTTTGGTTTCTTTTTACCTACTTTCAACTCGACAGCTATGAAAAATCTGTTACTAAGTTTATGTCATCGTAGTTTGAATTGAGTTGGGGGAGAGAGGAGAGTGTATTTCACTGAAGTGCTGATTTTTCCTTATTAACTTAGTAATGTGATAATAATTATTTTAACTATAAAAACGTAGACCATCAACTAAGTTATCAAAAACGGGATTACCCAAATTGATAAAATTACAGACCCATAATTGTGTATATACACACATAAACGTATCTACATTTAAATGTATATAAATATTTAAAAGGGGCAAAAAGAACACTGGGCCTGGAGTCAGTTCAGATATGACCTCAGACACTAGCTGTGTGATCCTGGACAAGTCACTTGACCCTGTTTGCCTCAGTTTCCTCATCAGTAAAATGAGCTGGAGAAGCAAATGGCAAACCACTGGAGGATCTTTGCCAAGAAAACCCTAAATGGGGTCACAAAGAGTGGGACATGACTGAAATGACTGAACAACAAAAAAATTTTTAAATGTGAGGTCCTCATTAAGAAAAATTTCAACGTTTTGTACTAACCCCCCCAAAATGTTACATTTTAAAATTATAGGGAACAAAAGCAAATAGGATTTTTGTTTTTTACTATCCTCATTTTAAAAATTATGCTAAATTGTATTCATAAGTTTAATAAAACTATCTTGTGCCAGGGACAGCTGTCAGAGACAGACTTTTTATGTTTTGTGGGATGTTACTATCTGCTCCGGGTTGTTAGAGAGTAAGTTTAAACCAGTCTTGAGCAAATATAAATTCTCCAGATTACCAGAGCTAACAAAAATCTTCTGCTGTTTTAAATCTTTTTGTTCACTGCATTCATTCCTATTTATGTTAATTTCTGTTTTACATACCACCTTTTCTTCTCGAGAATATTGCTCTAGCTGCTATTTTTTTAAGCCTGTGACATTTAGCATCATAAAATTGAAAATGAGAAATAGAGGTTTAAAAAGAAATCAGAGGTAAAGAGAGCAAATGTTAATATGAATGCCCATGTATGCAGTGGTCAGTGTTCCTCATTTGAGTAATCTTATAAAGTCATCCCTTCCACATCTCAGCTTTCTCCATCATGGTTTCAACATATCACAGGTCAGCATAAAAAATTAAAGGGGAATTTTTTGATAGTTTTGCAGAAGCCACGGACACACAAAGGCCAGCAGATGACAGAGTC